ACGGTGATCCACACAGAGAACAAGATTGTATGATTATGATTTTTCTTGTGCTAGCAAGAATAATGAAAAATCTCTACAAAATTGTAAACCCTAATAAGTTATTTATATAAGCCCAAACGGGGGCTTGGCCTGATCCAATATAATATTTAATTAATCCATTTAATTAAATTCGGTCCGCGAATTAATTAATCTAATTAATTAATTTGGGCCTATAAATAACCAACACAATTAATTAATTTATCCAACGCTTGTTAAATTAATTAATTGACAAATCACAATCTTCCCGTTCTCTTTTGTGTGCGACCTATCAGGTTCCCGATCACGATATCTAACGACGTGAAACATAATTTTGATCTAATCAAATTGATAAATTAAAACACATTTTTAATCTATCACAAATTCACACTCGCCATCCCAAATTGATATCTAGTAATGTGACAGAGCAATACATGTGACAGGAAATGTCACGTAGTATAACAAAATCAAACTCGTTCATTTACCGTGAAACTATAATCCCCTCGTTAATATGATTTGATCAATTACAAGATATGAAAGTGTGTCAATCTCAATTATCGATCATATCTTTCACTCCACTATTAAGTTAATATAAGTCGAAAACTTATTTTCGACTTACGAGTACACCTTGGCCAAGGATTTCATTACTGACTTAATTGAATGAAATGCAGATCATAATCTCTTACTATCTAAGAGTAATGAATCATCTATTGATCATTCACAACCTTCATACGATTCTTGAAATACCCAAACGATGTCGTATTAGTAGTCCTTGACATAACAATATCCAACACCATCAAAGCATGACTGTCATCATATAAGATACTGTGATGACCTCAAATTAAATGACCAATTCCACTACCAAACTTTAGAGATTAACCACTGACACTCAGATAGTTATCTATGTGAAATCTCTAGGCAGGTCTCCAATATTTTGTTTTATAACAAAACATCCACGTGTTCATTCAAGTTTCAACACATTTCAGCTTGTGAGATCAGCTACTTACTTCACAAATAAAAAATGCCACACATGACGGTCTATCCATAATGACGATATCTGTATCTTGTTATTACTTACGTTCACGGACGATTTAAGATTCAATCATATGTAATTTGTATCTCACAATCACAATTCCTTGTGATTAACAAATTACGAAGATTTGAATTTACGGATTCTATTATTTAATTTAATTTTCTTTTAATTAAATAATAGATTTGTCATTAAATCGTATTAATTATGTATTGAATTATTTATGTCTAATGTTGATTGGACCTAAGGCATAACACTTACATCTCTTTGTCAGGATATTTTCTCTTGACGGAAAAAGCAATTTCCTCTTAAATGACTTTCATAGTTGTGCAAATGAGCGGAGCTGAGCTGAGCACTGGAAGAATCTTCAAACTCAGACTTGAGCACTAGTAGAAGATCGTGAGATCGTGCTTCGCTCGAAGTTTGATGAACCTGATAATTCGTTTCTTGAGCTTGATTAGAGTGAAGGATTTACATACTTCAGTTAGGCTTGATTAATGCTTCAGCCTAACATGTGCTCGAGCTTACTTTTAATTTTTGGCATTAAATTCAACTTCATCCTCAGCCACCTATATCAAGCTCAAAATAAAAATGGATCACTGAATGCCTGCAGCTCTATCCCACATCAGAGCAACAGCATCGATGTGAAGATAGGAGATAAAATGGCGACATGAAGGACGTGTTGCCTAAAGATGCATATTTATTAGTGTTCACAATGTGGTGAGTAAATTTGGAGAAAATATTTAGGAAATTTTGTTGCTAAATTGGAGAGAACTTTGAGAAAATAATGGGCAGTTCCTATAACTATTTGTAGTCCAGTAATTTGGGTAGCTAAAAAGGTTGAGGACGGAACATCCGAAGAGCATTTCAGTTCTGGTGGTGATGAAGTGTCGTAGCGACGAATAAGACGTTAAATTGGAGGTTGAAGAACGAAACCTAAAGAAGGATTTTATGGCTTTGATTTGAAAAGACGTGCTTAGTTATGAACCCGCTAAGTAGTTACCACAATTTTATGGTTTAAACATATGTTGCTAAGTGAGTCTGCTGGCATAACAAGTACGTGAAAGATTTTTTATTCAAATCTAGATAAGCTTGAAGTGTAATGTATTCATGAATGGATTGCTGTTTCTCTGAGTTGTATTCCAGCTCCCCAGTGTTGTAGTTTTTACCCTGTTTGAGAATTACGTGCTCCTATTTAACCTAAGGTGTGGACAACACTTACGACAAAAAGGTTGAATTACTCCGTACCAAATATGCCCCTGCAGGTGTGCTTATTGGGTACGCCACAAAAAATTGTCAAATGTTGATGATCTACACTGTGTGAATCACATTATCTTTTGTTCTCAATAAAGAACTAATGGGCAAAATACATAGGAAAAGACAAGTTGAAGAAACAAAACCCTAGAAGAATTCAAGTAGAAAGCCGGGCACGCAACGTTACTAGGTTGTTGATGCGATGTTGAACCAGATTGTCATTCAAACAATTCCTAGGAATATACAAATCAATACATGCTAATTTTTCTGAACCGAACTAGGGGGAAATGGAAATAGACAGTCCATTATAATTAAATTAGTTACATCTTGTGTTTACATTTCATTGTACTGGTGTTGATGCCCATGACCAGTGCTGGTCGAGAAATTTATGGCCTTAGAAGTTGATCAAATCTTACTAACATTATTGATTGAAGAGCATGAAAACCCGTTGCATCCCAATTTGGTACGATTTTACAGTGTTTTTACTTTTGGAAGAGCTACACATGTTAATGGTGTGATTGAAAAAAAAAAAAAAAAAATTGTGCAAGACAAAAA